TGTTAAATAAAGGTCCAAAAAGGCCAGTTTGCCAATATTTTCTCTTTACACCGTGAAATTAATTGAATCAAAACGGCCATTTGACAATGTCAAAAATTTCAAATACAGGGTCTTACCGCAGTAAGACGAACTTTTCCGCACTGGTGTCCGACTATTCCATTGTAATGGAAATTCAACCAAATGGTGTGAATAATGAAACAACAACGAGAAGAGAACAATTTTGGAATTTCACAAGATTTGAACTTCAAGAAAATAGAAAAACACGGCAAAAACTAAGAAACACTTAGAAGAAGTAAACTCCATGAATAAACTTTCTTATGTTAATATGGCAACTTTTACCAACAACACTCAAACAAACTCAAGCTGTTCTACGGCCTTGAAAACGGATAGGAATCATGTTTTTGGGGGGTCTCAGAAATTTAGCCAAAAACAATACTTTTACGCATAAGTGCGGAAAAGTAAAAATGAAATCATTTAATAGTCGTTATTTGCGATTATCTAATAAACCATTTGTATTCAACAATAAAGAGCTATTCCATATTATTATTTAACCAAATTCTGGTGATTTTTTTTGTAAAAAAGAGACGATTTTAAGTCATTTGGTTATATAGAATCGAACGCTATTCTTCACGAACGGCAATCAGGTTTTAGAAAAAACCATAGTTGTACCACCTCACTATTGAACATTTCGGAGAGTATCAGATCGTCAATGAATCGTAAAAAATTCTGGTAACAGCAATCTGGCAATGGCATAAATAAAATGTTACAATGCAATAAAAAGAGATATCGGAGGAACATCAAACGTAGGCATACCAGTGGGGATACACATACGGAAGCTTTTGTCAATATCTATACGAAACTAATCCGAAAATTAGACAGTTTACGGGCCAAGGCGATTTAATGGTATTGAATTACCGTGCAGTGAATGACCCGATATTGGATATTCTGTGATTGAATAACTTCCACAAGGAAATTCATTCACCGCAATCGTCAAGGCAGCTTACCACGCATTCTTCTGTTTTTAATCCCATTGTAAAGAAAGTGTTTGGCGATAATTTGCTCTTTGGATACGCAGCACGGAAATAGTTGCACGGCATACGAATTAGTATTGAATTACTTATTGAAACCGCAACGCAAGTGCATTTCACCCATATATTTTGATACGGCAAACGAAACAGACGCAACACACAACAAATGGCTCCAAAACGTCATTTGGTCGTTGGCAATATGGAACACACCGACCAGAAAAATACTTACCAAACTATGAACCTCACTTAATACGACAATTGGATATGGAGCAAACGGAATCGATCACAAGAAGTCATGCTGGGTGACACATTTCGAAAAGGTAAGGCATCACCGATGACGATGATATGCAAATAAGTCGCCTTCGTTTTTAAATGTATCCATTGCATATAATATTCATAGTCGCTCGCAACTGAATTACTTGCTGATCAAAAATGAAATATGATTAAATTTTTCATTGCAATAAGTAATAATAATCCTTGGTGGCTAGGGTGGGAGTGGCACCATTCATCATGCAAACAATTTCATAGAGTTTTTTTGTGTCATATTGGTTGAATTTTATGTTTTTTTTTAATTTTCATAGCCTATTTCCATCCGAACTGGTGTAAAGGGACGGCTGCTGTGCGTGGAAATCATGCGATAAACAGTTGCCGACACTATTGGGAAATTCATGTGTCGCATCGTGTTTTTGGCACGAGGTATTATAATCGACTTTGTTTTTGTTGTTTTTCATATCCATATAGGTTCATATCTATATGTGCATTGCATTTACAGCATGATGTTCGGCGTTGGAACGGCCGATGTGCGGTTGCAGGCAAATAAGTTTACGAACATGTTGGGCGAAGATGAGAATGGATGGGGTCTGAGTCATAAAGGCTTACTATGGCACGGTGGCATTGCATACAAATTCACCGATCGATTCGTGGAGAATGAACGGTGGTAATTGGTTTATTCTTTGACGGTATCAACGGAACACTGACCTATTACAAAGATGGCAAGTGTTTGGGTGTTGCTTTTCGTGGTTTGAACAAAGTTGAAAAGCCACTGTATCCGTTCATCATATCGACGGCAGCTAAAACTGAAATGGTTGTGAGCGAAACGCGACGCGATTTTCCCGACCTGAAAGATCGATGTAGAGGCGAAATTATGAAGCACATCAAAAATAAATCAGACCTAGTCAAATTGGAAAAATTGTTACCCACCGTTGTACTGGAATACTTGTCAGAAGCATTTTATGATGAACGACCTCTTACTCCCGTCGATAATTACGATCAATACAAAGTGTAAATTTTGTTGTTTTTCCTTTCAAACATTCCCTGCAGTTTTTTCGTTTCATTTCTAGTTCAATAATCGATATTGAAACTGACAACGGTGGTATCGTCAACCAGTAGCTATACGAGCTAAATCTAGTCATTAAATGTTTTACTTAAGTAAAATTAAAAAGAACAATAACAGAAATAATAAATAATGTGATTGTGTATGTTTTATGAATAATTAATCCCGAATTAATGTTCCAACACACATTTTAGCTAATTAATTTTATTCGTACGGAGTGCACAACAATTTTGGATGTATGCATTTTGCACAAAAAAGAAGTAAATGAAACTCAATTTTCAAACGTGGATTCAAATTGCCATAGCAAACTGAAAATAATATTTCCTTTTTTTGGAGTAAACAAATTTAAGACTTCAATATTTTTAAGATTAATCCAATTCGTAGAGTATTCAAAGAATAATCTAGTCAAATTTTGAGTGAATAATAATGAAGAATTTTTTTTCGGATTTTGAAGTCTAGTCATGTATGAGGAAAGAAAAATAAAATGCGTTTTCCGTATCTGGATAAATTCGGTAACAAAATTGGGCCAACTTTGTGCAATAAATAACAGAAAAGAAAACGTAGCCATTCGGTCATATTGATGACTTTGAGCATAGATAACTAATTGTTAGATAACCCTGTGTATGTAAAATT